AGTTCTCCAGCTAGACTGGTGGAATGCAGAGCCATGATGGGATAGTGGCCAATAACAAGGGGGCTAGAGACACAGGGCAAAGACCTGGAGCAGGAATCTACTTACCTGAAGAGGGCAATAGGTAGAGATGTGTTCCCAGAATAAGGGTCAAGTTGTAGGAGGCGAGAACTGTGTGTTAATTAACCATTAGGTGGAAAGCCTACAAAAACAAGAGTCCATTTTGTTCAAATCATATTTCAAGGCAGACTTTGACTACAGATTGCTTAGCACACATCAGATAGAGAAATGCACAGAAGTGTGTTACACACACACGTGCACGTGCACGTATATGTGTATGTCTATAGGGGGACTGTTTTTTTTTTTTACGCTTTGTTGTCTTATGAAATCTAAGAACCCCCAGTCCCCAATTCCCTGTCTGTCTTACATATAGAATATATTTTACAGTGCTTGGAAATTACCCAGGGGAGTGATTTTAAAATTAAAAATTTCAGGACACAGTTTCAAAAGACAGTTGGGGATGAATAATTATTTCTTCTTAAACTTTATTAATTAATTAACTTATATAAATTGACAAAATAACATATTTCTTGTGTACAACATTAATGTTCTTGAAATTTTTAGAATGGCTAAGGAGAATCAATTGACATTTTCTTATTTTTGTTGTAAGAACACTTAAACCCTATTTCTTAGCTGTTTTGAAGAACGTAGCACATCATTTATACCTATACAGTGCAGCTTTTGATTTTATCTGCCCTAACTAATTTTTTTTTTGAGACAGTGTCTTGCTATGCAGTTCAGGCTAGTGTTAAGTTCACTTTGTAGCTGTCTGATCTCGAAGTTGCAACAATTCTCCTGCCTCAGCCTCCAAAGTGCTGGGATTACAGGCCTATTCTACCATGCCCAGCTTTAACTGAAATTTTATATCCTTTGAAATATCTCTCCAACATCTCTCCTACACTATTGGTACCTCAGAAAAGGACTAATCTACTCTCACCTTCTGTGAGTTCAATTTTTTAATTTCCACATGTAACTGAGATCATGCAGAATTTACCTTTGTCTGATTTGTTTCACTTAATATAATGTGCTCCAGATTCTTTCATGTCATACACACACACACACACACACACACACACACACACACACACACACATCTCACATTTTCTTTATCCACTCATCTGTCAACACAAGCTTAGGTCAATTCCCTGCCTTGGCTATTGTGAACAACGTAGCAAAGAACACAGTGGTGCCTATGACTCTTTGATGTGTTGCTATCATTTCCTTGAGATATATATCCAGTAGTGGAATTGCTGGGTCTTACAGTAGTCCCATTTTTGGTCTTTTGAGGAATCTTCATATTGTTTCCCCTAATGGTTGCCCAAATTTACATTCCCACTGAATTCCCATTTTCTCACATTCTTGACAACAGATCTCTTGTCTATTTCATTAATAGTTTTATGCATGTGAAGTGAACCTTATTGTGGTTTTCGTTGATCATATTTGATGTTATGGATTTTTCATGATCATTAGTATGTTTTATTTTGAAAAGTATATATATCCATCTAAGGGGAACTGCAAATATGTACTATTCTAATACAAATATAGAACTGTAAGTCGGACCAAGGATACAGTTTAGTTGCACAGTGCCTGCCAGGCAAGCATGAGGTCCGGAGTTTGATTTCCAGTACTCCCCCTCCACAAAAATAAAAACTGTAGGTCAAGAAATGTACTTCCAAATCTTTTTCCCATCCTGTTTAAAAATTCAATTCTTCTTGCTTTTGGTTGTTTAAATCATATACTTTGGATGTTGCCTCTTATCAGATGTATGACCTACAATATTTTCTCCCATTTTGTATTCCTATTCTTCTCAATCACTCAGTTGGTTATTTCATTCACTGTACATCTTTTTCATTTGGCCAACTAATTTTTAACAGGCACCCACCAACGTGAGTGTTCCTAAGTCTGCATTCTCTAAACCATGTCCTACACTCTTCTCCCAGTGAGACCACTTGACTCTTTCTCCTGCTGCTTTCAGGTCTACCTCTAGTTCTCAGGATCAGTGTGGACCCCAGACATGTCTTCTGTCTGTGGTTTCAGTACAGTGGCATCTCTTCACCCTCTGAAGCATCCTCCAAAATCATCCATTCTTAAAGACGCAGAGCAACTGCATGCCTTTTACGAGTCTGTTTCTGCTAATATTAGCTCTGAGGTAAGGCAAGTCTGAAACATGTTAAGGGTATTCCACAAGGAAGAACTTCCAACCGGGGAACAGCAGTTATTTGAATTAAACAGGGCCCTTTTCTACCACTTTCTCAGAGCCTTTAGTAGCTTCCAAGAACAATATTTCTGATGTTTCTGTGGAGGATTCTTGGGGACATATGGGTTCAGTTTGTGTGCATCTGAGCATTTCTGAACTACTTTCTTATATCTATGATCATTGATGTAAAACATGACACTTACATTGGGACTATGTCTTTCCAGTTGTGCAAATGCTACTTGAGGTAAGAAATCAGATATACCTAGTTTTCTTCACCCCTCGTCCTTTCATTTATCATTATCTTGATCACAAAATGCTCTGATGATGGAAAATTGTTTTCCCCAAGTTCAGCTAAGAGTTACTAAGATAAATCTGGATTTTAGGATTACCCCAATATTGCATTCTCTACAGGGAGAAGGTAACTTTTAAATATGGCATTTAATGAAAATTTTATGTTTTATCTTCATATAAAGAGAATTGAATTGTTAAACTCTTTATAAAACCTTAAGAGAAATACTTGCCTCATTAAAGAAATCTTAGAATATCCAAACAAGAAGATTGAGACTTAAATATACCAATTGTTAAGATTTGACTTACTACTTTCTTTGCTTTATGCTTTAATATTATACATGAAAATACATCCATTTCTTTTCTACCAAGCTTCTTCATGTATCCAACAGAGTAGGGTGTCAGGGCTGCTAGAAGCACTTCTGACTGCACTGCCCATGCCAGCAAGTTCCAGTGCGGTTTGCCTCCTGACCTCCCAGTCAAGCAGCATCTTGTTTGCTAGGCTCCAGTTTGCTACCTGGAGTGCTCTTTCTCTGTCTCTCTGTCTCTCTGTCTCTGTCTCTCTGTCTCTCTCTGCCTCTGCCTCTGTCTCTCTCTCCTGCAAAGATTTTTTCTGTAAGAGATATTGCTGAAGATAATTTCTATTTGACATAAACACATCCTAAAGGCAGCATCAGGGACTTTTGACCAAAACCAGCTGCCACTGAAGAAGAGCACAATTCCTAAGAAGAGTGAAAATGTCAGAATGGCCAGAGCCCAGCATAAGCTGAAGGTAATTCAGGGCAGGTAGAAGATACAGTAAGGCGAGCTCACTTGTGGTAGCATTATGTTGTTACAGGAAAACTAAGGGAAGCCGACCTCCTAACTTATCATTTGTCTTCTCTTCTGTACTAAGGAATAGTTTATGTTCAAATTAAAGAAGAGCAAATAAATCAGTGTGCACGGGAAGTTCATGTGCTTCTCTTGTTGTAGGAAAGGAAGAGCAGATTATTTACCAGTGAGCAGAATGGTGATCATCATTATGCTTAAATCTTTAAGTTCTGATTATTAATGTCTCCAGAAACTTAAAGGAGCAGTGAATGTGATCATGGAGCCATGAAATAATTTCCATGGAATCGTGGACAACTGGAAAGATGATACAAGAACCCTTGTTTCCAGAAAAAACAGGAAAGATAATTTTGGATATGACCTTGGCAAAATTATTGAATGAATTTAAAAAATAAATGGTTTATAAATACTTGAAAAGTTAGATGATGATCACTGGAAATCAGCATGGAGTATTTGAAAAGATATATTCCAAATCCACCATTTCTTTTAAAAATTATGATATTTAAATAAAATCTATCTATATATCAAGAAATAATAGCCAATATCTACATAGTGATTAGTACTGACCCTGTATATAGATTTAATTGCTTCTCATATCTTCATGCCAATTTTTGAGTTAGGTATTATTGAATTTGATCTTTAGTTTTACATAAAATAAAAAAAACTTTGAAAATGAAATCTTAGAAAAGTTCAGGAATTTATACAATCTTCCTAGTAAATTGTGAAATTTAAAGAAAAATTTTTCTGATTACAAGGCCTACAGCTGTTTTTATACCACATCTCTCCATATGTTGATTTCATCCAGGGAATGACTAAAATCTTCATTATTTTATTTTAATTGGCATATTATTATATGTACGTATTGTACATATTTCTGGTGACATTTTACTAAATGTATACAAAGTGCAGTATCAGATCAGGATAATTGATAATTAAATATTCATCACCAAATGAGTCATTTCTTTGTATTGGTTTGTTGTGTGCTGGCTGTTTTTTTTTTTTTAAATTTAAGAGGAAAAAGAGAAAAACACAAAACAAACCAAAGCGGCGTAAGGGTACACACAATACAGAACTACAAACAAAACAAAACAAAACAAAACAAAACAAAAAAACATAACAGTAAGAAATCACCTGCTAGTAGATTACACACTATCTTCTTGAAAATAGTTCCTCAAATCACAGTATCAAAGAACACAAGGTGGACATTCAAACAGGGAGACTGCAAACAGCTGTGTTCAATGTTCCAAAAACATTGATAAAGTCAGCTATTTAACACCCCCAAACACACTTGCTGTTATATCCGTTAGAGCTCTTTTTCTTTTTTTTTTTTTCCCCTCTCTTTTTTACAACAAAATTTACACATCTTGGATTTTATTACTCCTTAGTGCTTATTACTTTCTTTGGGGGGATGTGCTGGCTGTTTTTAAATATTCAGTAAATTGCTAATAATAGCTATCTTATTGTGTAATAAACATTATAAATTATTCCTTTATTTAACTTGTACCCATTAGCCATCCGGTCTCCATTTCTCCCTCTTCAGCACCTTTCCCAAGCTCTGGCAACCACTGTTCTACTGAGCTTTGAGCTTCATATGTAAGTGAAACATGTGTTGTTGATCTTTCTGTTTCAGATTTATTTTACCTAACATAATGTCCTCCAGTTCTATCCATGATGTTACCAATGACAGGATTTCATTCCTTTTTATGACTTGATATGACCTAAGTCTCTACTGATAGCCTCATGGTGAGTATGAACACCATCTTGTCTATCTAATTTCACGATCTGATTTTTTCTAGTGAATTTAAATATTCTCTGTCTCTGTCTCTGTTATTCTCTTCTTCTCTTTTCACTTTCAAGATCTCTTCCTCTTTTTTCTTTTCCTTTGTTTTCTACAGGACATCCATGCACAGAGAAAAGCTTCAGAAAAACATCATGACCTCAGGAGTAGGGCTCTGCAGATTCCTTTGGTGACAAAATAGAATCATCTGGCTGCTGATCTTGGACCAGCACGTGCTGAGGTTTGAAAATCCTACCAGTCTTCTGTTGGGATGACCTCCTGTTCTGGGCATTCTGGTGTGTATACAAATCCACTTCATTTTCTTTTCCCTGCTATGAGGGCATGTGGGGACTTCTTGGTATCTGGTATAGTCTGATCAGGTTGTAGGAAATGGGTTACATTAATCCCAATAATTGTCCCAAAGCCATTTGAACTGCACTGTATCACAGGCCAATCACTGAATGATTGATCACTTTCCAGGCAAGCAAGACACAAATGTCCTAGGATTCCTACTCAGGATTTCAGCTATCTCCTCTTTGAGCTGTCCCTCAAACTTGAGCCTCTAAATTGAGATGTTAGAAAACTTGGTGAGATATAGACGAGTCGGGAGTAGTCACAAACCGTTCTCTTTGCCCAGCGAAGGCTTGCTGTGTGAAAGGGAAGTTCTGCAACTCTTTGAAGGAAACTTCTTAAGTGATAGAAATGTTCCTTTGGAACCGATCTGTCTAACCTCAAAGCTTCAGGGATGTGGTGCTCAGTAAGTGGTATTATACTGAGTGTCCACCTGGATATTTGGTTTGAGAATTTATCAGCTGACTTGCCTGAGCTTCCTTTAGGAACCCGGAGTATATCCTCTTGCTGGAGAACTCATCTGTGCCTGACCTTTCTCGTGGTGCTCACATAACATAAAAGGTCTTGGAACTGTCGCCTGTCTGTCTCTTGTGAATGATTTGATGTCCATGTCCCCATATATCAAGAGCGAGCCTTGTTACCCATCCTGAAAAAGGATAGGCGGAGTCAATGTGACATAGGCTGGGAAAGCTCTGCTAATCTGGGTATCCTCTATTCCTCATCAGCAGTTTTTAACATGGAGTTTGCCATTTTGCAAAGGACCGCAGCAGAAAGTGAGTGAGCTCTTGGAAGATGAGGTAGGGAAAAATGGAAAAAGCAACCCACAGTTACTGTTTGTCTCATTAAAATATGTCAAAGTCAGAGGAACAGAAGGCAGCAAAAGCAAAAATCAGATGTCACTAGCTTTCAGAACATGTTGACATGTAGAGCGAGCAAACTGTAGTGACAATGTGCTTTTCAGCAGCCTTAGCTCTCAGCTGGGAATAATAAAGTACTTTGCAGGCTTTACTAGGGAAGCAGACAGCAGTCTAGCACCCGAGAACAGGTGGTGCAAAGGACAGTTACAGTTGATAGGCAAAAGGACCTTGTGATGACTTACTATCTTTGGATAGTAATGTACATTATCTTTACCCAAACCAACATTCTAATTGGAATCATTGGAAAGCATTTTTTTCTTGTCAAAGTCATATTAGGAAAACCAGTGTGATTTTGTTTGTTAGTACTGTGGAATGGGTTTCCCCATGAGCAGTTCAATTCCTTTCACCTATACTTGAAATATTTGCACATATATTAAAGGGATAAACACAGCTTATCCATTTGGGCTAATAGAGTAATTTACTTAGAGTGGACAAAGTTGAATTGTTGGCTTAGAGCAGATGAATCAGAATGTTGGTTTGGGTAAAAATAATGTACATTATGCAGAGGCTGAAAGCACATAGACAGGGGTTCAGATCCTGGCCCTCATTACTGAGTGCATCTCCTTTTGCAATTTAGGTAACTTCTCAGTGACTCAGTTTCCTTAGTCTTCAATAGAGATGTTTATTTCTCACTTTCAGGATTATTTTGAATGTTTATACAACAGTGTAAATGAGTATACTGGTAAATGAGTAAATGGTAGTTACTCAATAATTACTAGGGTTTTGTCTTGAATAGTTTAAGTTTGAGAATTTATTTGATGTGATTATTAGTATTTTAGAATCTAACTTATTACTCACCTGTAGCTTAAAAGACAACTTAGAACTTGAAGCTACCACAGAATAGAATTTGGTTCCCCAGTTTACATCTTAGTTTTTAGGTTCCAAACATACCCACCCACTTCCTCTTAAGACTTGGCCAGATCATATAACCTGTGCATACCTCTATTCGATCTCTTACTCCTTTGAAAAAGTGGCATTGTATCTCTTTGATTATTCTGACCTTAGTCTTTAGGGTAGGGATGTTCCATTTTTACAGAGAAAACAAAGTGGCTCCCAGGAGAGAAATATTTTACAGAAAGGAAATGGATATTTCCTTGTAGGGATGGCAAGCAGGTAAAAAGACAAAGTAAATATGGTAGTAAGATAGCTTTGGAAACCATCTAAAATTTGAAGACATAAATTCTGCTCTGATAAAGTCTGTTTATTTTTAAAAGTTTAAAGAAAACTTATGAAAATATAAAGTTTAAATTCACATGTATACATTTAACCAATATCCTATATTATGAATAATAATAGTAAAAGCAAAATAGTTCACAGAAATGAGTAAAAATAAATATAAATTAATTTAATACTTGCTGTGAAGGTATGTTCAAACTAACCATATTAATGGTTCGTAAGAGATGTTTCTGCAAATCAATGATTCTTTTAAAATATATTAATTTCTTTAAAGTAAAAAAATACTTTTCTTTGTGCCTGAGCATACTACAGGAAATCTATTTAGCATCAAAAGTTGAAATTCTGGGCCCTTAAACAGAAATATCAGCTTGGGTCCCTTTTCCCTTGGTTAACATTAATGCATTGCTGTTGTTGCCTGCAATAACCCAATCAAACTGGTGAGGTTAGAGAACTTGTTAAAACTCAGGTCAAAAAACACAAGTAATGGCACAGCTGAGCTGGAGTTCAGAAGGCTCACAACCCAGCCTTGGGATCAGGGTGGCCAGAGACTGTCAACCCTGGGTAGACAACATCACTGCACTTCCTCAATTCACAATCCAGGCTTGCACCACCCAGCAGGGTGTGTTCTCCTCTCTGGGTCTAGCGGAAAATATCAGGAAGAGCAATTCTGGTTGGACCAGCTTGGGTTAGATTTGAAGCTCCCCAAACCCTCCCAGCCCCCTCCACCCTGACCTAGACTCACGTGGGTCGCTGCTAGATGGAAGGAAGGAGTATTAAAATATATACAGTCCAGACAGTAATAGTTCTTTAAACAGAGTGCCATCTTTTATGAGTTTTAATTTTATCTCCTTTCTGAGGATCAGAAAAGGCATTCTACCTGGGTTTTAATCCTGGCTTGTTAAGCACCAATGTTTCATCTTAGGCAAGTAGTGTAGCTTCTTTTAGCCTTGGTTTCTCACTTTTAGAGCAGAGGAAACGATATGTACCTCATAAAGTACATGTGAAGATGACATAAATTACTTCATCTAAAGTATACTGCAAAGAGGGTATAGTACACTGTGTTAATAAGTATTGGTATTATTAAGATGTAGGTAAAAAATTAGGTCTTAAGAAAATTCTCCCCAATGTCCTCTGTATCTCCGTTTTCCCCACTCACCTTCCACTTGAGCTAACCATTAAAAATCTGTTGTCTAGTTCTTCAGACTTTAAAAGCTTATACTACCAAGTATCTATTTAATAGGCTGATTTCTAGACTTTGCAACTTGCATGTTTTTGATTTTAACACATCCTTATTTCAACATCAACACATCATAGACCAATAATCATTATTTTTCTTAAACTAGTGGGGGAAAAATGAATGTGGAAGTGACTGTTTTATGCATAAGGCAGACTTAAGACACAGAGTCACCAGTGTCCTCATTTATATCCCTGACTAAATTCTGGGAAAGAAAATTTATGCGCGCTCATCAGTGTCTCTGGCTGGCACTTCACATCTGCAAGACAGTATATTGTGTCTTCAAGAAATCACATTTCTAGACCTTCCCAGGGTTTATTTCTAGTAAAGGAGATTATAGGAAGTTATTTTAATGACTACATTCCTGAAAGAGGTTTCTTATTGCTGTCTAAACCTTTACTGACCTCTCTTTTTATATTTGAAATTTCAGTTAGCATATTTTTTGATTGATCTATGGGCTGTTGATTGTTTCTCTGTGGTTATGATTTACCCCCTGATTCAGCCAACTAAAATCACAGTTGTAATTTTATAACTATAAATCATTTGACCTTTTCCAGTAAAATTAACTAAATCAGAAGGTGTAATTACAATCAGGAAAATGGCTCATGTGGAGCAGAATTAAAAGAAAAAATGGACTATTCCATTTTTAAATTCTTACCTGGTCACTAGATAAGTGTAAGGTTCACTGACATTCTATACTAGAAGCACAATCAGAAGTCTAAAGAACAATTTAACGTTGACTATAGAGCCTCTAAGGTAAGAAGGAACAACCCCTGTCCTGTGGACAGCTAACCCCCAGTGTCTTCTCTCTCACTACCACGAAGCATCTGTCCTTCTGCCAGGTTCCCCACACCCTGATAGCTTGGATCATCCCTTTTTGAGAACTCTTCTCTGATTCAGACTTTAGTTTCTCTAACTCATAAAAGTTTCTTAAATTCCTAGCTTGATTAATTCATCCTTCTGCCATTCAATTATTTATATAGTAATAAGTCTTGGATTATCAAGGTAGGCAAGTATTTTCAACCCAGGAAAGTAAGAGTTCAGTTAGATTACCATTAAAAATAATAATGTATAATGTGCTATAATTATTTTATAACTGAGAATCTAGTCTCTTTAAATAGTTTTAAATATTTGTTTGTTTGCTTGTTTCAAAGAAGTATATGCTAGACTCTTTGAATTCAAGCCACAGAAAGCATTTCCAGTGTATCTGGCATTGTATTTAAAATTATGTAAATATTTAGCAGTTTAGCCATTTTTAAAATATACAAGCCAGTAAAATTAAAGACATTTATAATATTATATAACTATTGCCACTATCTATGTCCAAAACCTTTTCATCATCCCAGCATAAACTGTGTAGCCATTAAATACTAACGCCCTCCACCCATGGTAATCTCTGCCTACTTTCTGTCTCTATGAATTTGCCCATTCTAGTGGTACGTCATATAAGTGAAGTCTTATGTTTGCCCTTCTGTATCTGGCTTATTTTACTTTGCATAATATTTTTAAGGTCCATTACAGCCCTTCACTCTTTTCTTTAGGCTAAGCAATATTCTATTGTATGTATATAACAAATTTTAATTATCTCTTCATCTGTTGATGGACATGGGTTATTCTA